TTGGCAGCACCGAAAATCTCCATCGAAATCGCCCGGAACTCTATCCGACGTGAACATTTGAAAACACTGTCGAATCTCCCCGGAACATCCGTAACATACAAAATATCCACCGAAATCATGCTATGGTATTCTCTCCGTCGTGAACACGCATAAACTTTCTAAAATACTCCCTGCAACCTCCTCCGGTAGCAACGGAAATCTCAAACGAAATCGTGCAGAAGCTGCCTCCGGAAGTTGCAGTGTCAACATCGAAAACCTCCTCCGAAATCGTTCTAAGCCTGCGAGAAAACCTCGTCAAAATTCCGTTGAACCTTCGTTGGCAGCATAGCAAATCTCCACCAGAATCTTGTGGAAGCTCTTTCACCGAAAACACGAGGAAATGACTTAGAAATTTCCTGAAACATCCGATGGCAGCACCGGCAATATCCTCTGAAATCATACTTCTCGATCGTGCACACAATAAAACCTCCACCGAAATCGTGCAGATCCTCCTTCGCTGAGAAAACTCCGTCGAAATTATTTGGAATCTCCGCTGGAAGCATCAGAAATCGTCACCGAAACCATTGTGGAACCTCGTCCGCCATGAACGCAAGAGAATGCCATCGAAATTTTGTATTTTCACATTTTTTTTAATTAGTCATACTGTATGTAATTGTAATTGTTATTTATTTAGTTAAACGTAATTCGTAAATTACGTAATTTAGTCAAACGACGAACAAGAAAAACTTTCCTAGAATCTGCGTTTGCAGCATCTAGAACCGTCTCCAAAAAAAAATCATGCAGAACCTCCTCCACCAAGAACGAGAGAAAATCCCGTTTGCAGCATCCAAACTCTTCACTGGCCGAAGCTCCTCCGACGACAATGCGTGGAAACACCGTCGAAACTCCCTTGGCAGCGCAGTATATAAATTCTCTAGTGCACCGAAATCGTGTGGAGCTAGGTGTGGATAGACGATTTTTCTTTTCATGTTTTGTTTGTATATCTTGCTTTGTTTTGACATTCACATCCCACTGAATGGTTGATGTAAACGATGGAAATTAAATGCATTTTTTTTTAATTAAATACATCGTCAATAAGCATTTTAAAAGTGAGACGCCCCTAGATCTATCGACATAATTTTATACTTTACTTAACGTATATTACTGGAAATTAATAGTACTAAGTATATATGGTGTAAAGGCACCAAATTCGCCCTCAGTAATACCAACCGGTGAACACTCGTGTTTATTTCATTTACCGTGGGGACGTAATTTGTGATTAGCCCCGGTCCCTTTCAAGTTGTATCATTATGAATGCACGGTCCATATATTTGAAATGACGTTTCACATTCATCTAGTGATGGCCGATTTTCATTCGAATAATTGATTAATCGATTAACGAACCGAAAAGTAAAATATTTGTAATCGGTTATATCATGCCGATATAAGCATTAACATCTCCAGAGGATCATCACCGATTGTTTCAAACATGTGCTGCACTCTCATTGGTGGAAAAATAGCAGCACAGCGAACAAAAAAAAAATCGATTAGTTGTTAATCGAGTAATTAAAAAATGGGACATCTCTGATTTTGGTGTGTTTGTTTTGATAAAAAAGAGCGCAAAATTTCATCTCTACCGAGGGGGCAGCAAAACCACAAAATTACCTTGTATACGAGGGGTATTCATTGGATGAAAGGGACCGTGAAAGAGGACACTAAAATAGAAAGTTTTTCTTCTCACAGTTTCATCTTAGTATTCATCTTTGGTAATACTCTACTGGCCTACAGGATGATCATTATAAAAAATGTCCTAGAACCTTGTGATTTTTTCTATGTTGTTCAGAATCAAGACATCAATAACTATATTTTGGGTTATAGTGGCCATATTCTGGCCACTATTCTGGTTCTCCGGATAATCTGGATTGACCGATAAAGTGGCCAGTGTGCGTTGGGGCAATATTAGCTTCCTTCGTTTTAAGCTGAAAACACAATTTTCATCAAAATAGTTACCCTAAAAGTTAAATCTATGTTTGCTTTGGACACTATATCAATTTGGCAGCTCTGTGTTATCAGATAATGTAAATAAAACAAACACCAGTTTGCATTGGATATAGAGTAATTTTGTCCTCTTTGTTAATATTTTTTAGCGATTCAAAGCGTCGGTGAAAGATATCAAGACCAACAATTGAAATGGCCTTAACTCCATTTTGTAAACAATGTACAACATAATGAACAGGCTTCAGAAACCAGTTTCCTACCTAGATCCTTCCAATTGAAATTGTTACCTATTAACCTCGAGCCCGCCACGAGTAATTGGTACCCAATACTAACCTAGAAATACTGCTATTTAAAATGTAAATCAAACATTACTGATTTTGGCTCCGCAAAGTGTCACACACGACTGAGCCTAGTAAATAAACGAACTAGTTAAAAAAAAAAAAAAAATAATGAACAGGTAGGGGAAATTCTCCTCTATCCGATTGAGGTTTGGGTTTGCGAATGAAGGTTTTGGTTCGCGAGAAAATGACCTTACAAGGTTTGTTTACAAAATAGAGTTAAGGCCATTTCAATTGTTGGTCTTGATATTACCCATTTGATTGAGATTAGAGCTACATCTTTCTGATAAAATACCGGTTAGTTTTAAACTTACCGGTATTTTATCAGAAAGATGTCACACTTAGATTTTTTGCCGAGATGGGCACCACCGAGCATCTCGGCATTTTATTTTGCTGGAAATTCAGCAAAAAATATGTTTGTTAGCTGAGATCTCGGCAAAATTCCCGTTTGTTAGCTGAATCTCGGCAAGTTTGTCACTGAGATCCAGCAAAATAAAATGCCGAGCTGCTCGGTGGTGCCCATCTCGGCGAAAAAATCTAAGTGTGTAGCTCTAATCTCAATCAAATGGGTAAATTTAATAGAAACAACATATTAAATATGTTTTTCTATTAAATTATTCTATTAATTAAGTTCGGGTCAAAATAATCCTTCAACAGTCAACAAGCTTTGTTTACGTTCTATTCATTCTTCAGAAATGGTCCGCAATGTTCCGAAGTCTATTTAGCGGTCATGGACCTTTGAACAACTACACACTTATGGCGGTAAGCTCCAACTCGGATTAAATTTTAATACCGTCCTTGTTTGGATGATCTGCGCATTGTTTGCATAGCATCGTGTTGAATAACTCTGACGTCGACATCAAAGCAGCCGGACATTCTTGATCGGGATTTAATCCGAGGATAATACCGATTGGAGCTTACAGCCATTAGAAAAATTCATGTAAATTTAGGTGCTCTGAGAGTGACATATTATTTAAAATAGGTGCAGCGCACCTTAATCGATGAAATTTTGGATTTCGGTTCCATTTTTAATGCAGATTACGAATATGAATTTACCTCAATACCGCTAAACAACCTGATTGGGTTCTTTAGTGGTACTGAGGTAATTGCATATTCGTAACCTGCATTACACATAGAACCGAAATCCAAAATGTCATCAATTTTGGAGCACTGTAACTATTTTAAATAAGTGCGATTACATTGGCAAAAATCACCATCTTAGCGCCCCTCTGTGGTAGTTTGTATGGGCGCGAGCTGTCAATTTGTTAGTTTAGTGTCAAGCAGTGAAGTGATTATTTTTAGAATTGAGTGAATTTTGTTGCAAACAAAGAACGATGAACTATCAGCTCCGTAAAGCTAACGCGATTGAGCCTTCCAAATAAACGAACTAGTTAAAAAATACATTACATACACAGTAACCGACATATTTTTCAAAATTAAAAAAAAAAACAAATAACAGGCTCTGTGGAAAATTCTATGGCGATTGGGAACAGAATTTCAGAATCCGTGAAAATTACCAAGAGAATCGAACTTTGAGTAAACAATCCCAAAGGAATTCTGCGCAGATTGTTATGGGAATTAGGAGGATAATTCCGAGGGCATCTCGGAAAGTGTTTTTAGATAGTTTTAAGGATAATTCGTATATAATTTTCAGAAAATATTAGAAGAGAACTCCAAGATTATTCCGAGCAAAAATTGTAAGACAATTCTGAAGTGAATTGTATGGGAATTCTAAGAAATTGAGGCGTATTTAAAAAATGGAAAGAAGCTTCAATGACTTTTTAGAAAAAAAAACATTCAAATTCGAAAAAAAAATCAAACGACGAATTTCATCAATTCTTTTGAGTGTTCTGCAGATAATTTCTGAACTGTTATAAATAAATTTTTGAAGGAGTTTCCAGAGAGATGCTCAAATTTATATTAAAGGAATAAAGTGAAGGGAAATTATTCTAAAGGAAATTCTTGAGAACAATCCAATCAAATCACAATTTTGAGCGAATTTTCAAAGTAGGTAGTTAAACATAGACACATTTTAAAGACTTCGAACGCAAAAACCAAATTCAAGATCCAGGTAAATTGCTACTATCGTAGTTCGTAGTAATGACCCATTCAACCTAGTGATCTATACGGCTCAATCATATTTAGTTTTATGCTTAGTTTAACTGCATATCGATCAATGCGATCAATCCAAATTTGAGTTCAGATTACTTATAATCGCAAAAAGTGCAGGAACTCAGCGATGAGCAAGTTGGAAAACCTCCAAAATCAGCCGGAAAATGCGGAGATTTGACGAAAATTTTACTCATTCTAGGAGTACTACCAATAGACTGAGAGAATCCAATCTTCTCTTTTCTCTTATTTCCTAGAAAAACCTGAAAAACCTTGGAAGGCAAATTTTCTCATCTCTGAGTTCCTGCACTCATCATGATCTCATTGGCCGTGTAGATCCTGCCCTATTTCTAGCGCATCGTCACCAACGAAGCCCTCAATCCACCCGTCACAGTCGGACATCGCCGCTTTTGCTGTTTGTCTGATTGTTCCTGCCATCCGAGTCGGTTGCCATGTCATTTATCAGTATTACCTATTACGGGCAAACCAAGACTCCATCGTTCAGAGCTCTTCATCATATTTCCGAATTGATTGTATTTGGAAATTTCAGTTCGCGTTTTTTTTTTGTTTTTGTTTAATTGTGCGGAGTCATATATACCTTTCGACTAAACGCGCCATAAAAACCTGACTTTAACCGTTCATCTAGCTTGCAAACGAAAAGAAAAGAAAAATACAATACACTCATGACGTTGCAGCCAATGGGAGGGAAGGACGAAACCCAAGGGGAAGTTTTTTTTGTACATAAATGCCATTTCGACTGATGCGCGAGTTCGATTCTTTTATTGTTTCTAAAAACATACTGGAGAAATTCTTAGTTCTAGTAATAATCGCGCTTATTTCTTTTCTGATTTTAGCATTTTAGTACTTGATTGATAGATTGTTGATACGAGATTAGCGGGTTGTTTCCCGGCAAGAAACATCTTTGTCTTAAGTTCAAGATATACATATTTGTGTTTTTATTTCATCATTATTATTATACTTTTAACGAGAGCTAGTAGAGGTGTTATGAACAGCCATTTCAAAACATCTTTTTTATTGTTAAAGCTAAAATGCAACATAGGTCATCTGGCCGGTTAATGTGTAGAGGAACATACGCTAAACTTTCGTTGAAAAATAATGTTTGTTTGTTTTTTTCCTGCTTAAACCAATCGGGACATTTCCACCTCTCATACCAGTTTGGGTGCTTGCAATAAATTTGCTTGATTTGCTTCAAAATATATATATATATCGTAATCTATGCTATGTATAAATATACTTACTAGTAACAATAATCGTAATAATAGCAGCTTCACCTCTATCACACAACCCAACCTGCTCGCTAGGGACTAATAAAATGGATGCACACTAACACAGACCGCCTTCCTCTTCCTCTTCCAGACCGGAACCGGGGGCCGCTTTAGCTCCCTGTTTCAAGAGTAAAAAGAACATTTGTAACGTTACAATCCATAATTTTAAACCTTTATAAATCTACCTCAGCTGCATTTCCACTGTTCGGGGAAACATACGAGGCGGCAGCGTTTTCGATAACATTGGCCTTCGGAGCAACGGCAACACCCTTCGGTAGTGGCAAATCCCTTGCCAGTCGGGCGTACTCGACGTCCATGTGACGAATGAAGGGCGATGCCAGCGCACGGGCAGCCAATTCAGGATCCTCATCATCATAGGCCTGAAATTTATTCGAGTGACAGCTATTTGAATTCTGCTTGCGTTTTGTGCGGTGGGCATTCAACTCACTTGTAGCAAAGATTCCAATGTCTGAATTTCGGCAACATCGCAACAATTACCCCATTCTTTAAACGCTTTCTCTGCGGCCACGTAATCTCCACGGGCCAACTGAACAAGCACCAAAGCAACGGCCAGCCGGCCAATGGCAGCTTCCGATCCGACCTGCTGATGCAAACCAATCTCGCGACGAACGGCATCCGCGGCCTGATCGTACATTCCCAACTTCACCATGATTCGAGCCACCTTGCTGGCGTATTCAGCTCCCTGTCGAGAGGAGTCCTCAATCTAGCAAACAGAATCAGCCTAATTAGTCACAGAATGTCCATTCAAAAATGGGGCAACCTACCGTGGCTACATCGACGGCCAACTTGTACAACTGCAGGGCATCTTCCGGATTTGTACCCTCAAGTATCTTGGCCGCCTTGTCGAGCGTCGCAGCACCGGACTCGGGCGATCCATGCTGCTGGTAGAGATTGCAAGCCTTTTCCGCGTACTTACGTACCTCGGCCAGGTTGTTCATGTCCTTGCAAATCAGGATCACCTGGTCCAGACACTTGGCCGCATGAAAGATGGCTCGATTCTGGCGGTGGCAATCTGATGACTTCAACAGGCACTCCTTACATTGATCCAAAGCCTTCGCATTTCGGAAGCAAGTCGCTGTTCGAGACGAATACAAAGTCTTGATTATTGAATAACCATTAAGTTTGTGCACGACTCATAGCTTTAAACGCAGCTTCCAGTCAAGTTAATCGGGGTTTCATAAATTTAGCAAATTACAAAAAATACACAATCGTAATCATTTTCCACTCACCAGCTTTGTTGTACTCATCAGCAGCAAAGTCATAATCCGGCCTCCATTTGAGAAGGGAGGTTTTCAAACTTTTATTTTTTTTTTTTTGTTTAAGCCACAAAATCCCAGCAGCAAATGATGAGTAATAGGAAATTGAAATATAATGAGAATACTATTAGTGCCACACGTACACAGATTCTTCCCATAATACACCTAGCCCTCTAAACCAAGGGAGTTGATGGCAAACAAAAAAAAAACACCATCGATTTTGTCGTCGCCTTTTTCCCCAACACAAGGAAGGAGGACCAGGATGAAAATGACGAAATGGACCAAACCTTTTCTCAGCCTGACGAATATGCTCCTGGGCTTCCTCGATTTTGCTGGACATTGCTATTGCACTTGTTTAATCTCTTCGCTATAAGCAGTATTTCCCACAAGAAATAACAGCGAATTTTTTCGCCAATCGATTCTCTGTTGCAGAAACAAAGCTATAACACTTTTCACTCTTCTTCACACAACAGCGACAGAAATTTGACAGCCAGTCAGAGGGTGAACACCTATCCAGTCAGCGTTCTGTTTTTATCAATGAAATTCGTACTGCACACACCAGTGCCGTTATGTTCGATTGATAAAAAGATTTTCATTGCTCACCGAGGGGAGCAAGGATGATGGCATACCCGATGAAGCAAATTCGGTTGTTTTTGTGATAATCATTCCTAAATCATTGCTCATTGTTCATTGAAACAATAATGGTTAAACTAGCACTAACATAAAACTATTTTTATAATTGTTAGCATTAGTCGAAAAAAGTGTTAAAGTTTACGGGTTTCGACGTATTTATATTATAATAAATACTTGCTATGATTAAGGCACACTTCGAACGACCCCTTGCCTCAATGGAACATTTTGGCACACAGAAACAGGTTTTATCTTTTTATCCTTTTCCTCGCATCCTCTTAAATGAGAAACACTCGGAAACGGAACTCTTGTCGGAGTAGCGACACACTCACCATCAACTACTCAAATTTATACCCCGTTCACATTACAGCGTATATCACGTGATATCTAGACTAATACCCCGTTCACATTACAGCGTATATCACGTGATATACGCTGTCTTGCAATGAGCACTCATACATCTAGTTTTCACTGGAAATCCTATGTATGAGTGCTCATTGCAAGACAGCCTATATTACGTGATATAGGCTGTAATGTGAATGGGGTATAACATTTGAAAGGGGCGTAAGAGCCAAAATGTAAACAAACCATATTTTGCCACATATAGAGGGAATAGTTCACAAACTACTCGATAAACACGAAAATGTAGAAGAAAATATAACTTCAAATCATCAAAAACGTTTCTTCTTAAGTGGCGTATTTCCAACTTTCAACTCTATGATGCATCTGGTTGTTACGCCTTGCACCAGAACTACGAATTATATCGTTTTAATATGCTAAACGTATTGAGTCTGTAGTATCTAGTCACGCCCGATTCATTTGAAATGCATCCGATTGATAGTTCACGTGTAAACAACGAACAAAAAGAAGACCAAAAAATCTCCGGGCGTAATTCCACTCTCACAAAATTTGCGAACGAAGAACCAAGGCGGAACAACAAACAAAATATCCCGAGGGTGTACTTCCACGGCGTATCACCAGTGTTGGCAGTTCAAAGGGTGGATGATCCGGGGGGTAACAACATGTATGAAATTATCAGGGCGTATGATGTTTTCTTCTCGATTTCACGACAAAGAAATTTTTTTTTGAGTTTTTAGTGATGCATGATGATAGATTACACTATTAACTATATGTCAAGCTTATAAAATCATCCAGAAAATGGAAAGTCGTGAAATAGGATTAATTTTTAGGTCATCAAAATTCAGAAGCGATTTTCTCGATATGGTCATTTTGGAATTACGCCCTTTTCAAATGTTAGTCTAGATATACGCTGTCTTGCAATGAGCACTCATACATCTAGTTTTCACTGGAAATCCTATGTATGAGTGCTCATTGCAAGACAGCCTATAATACGTGATATAGGCTGTAATGTGAACGAGGTGGAATCATGTGGAATCAGAGCGTAAAATTATTGACTGCTTAGAGCACCGCCACGGGAGGCGCTATCTCTATCCCTATAATAAGGCTCCATATAGCTAGTTATTTTAGCTTAGCACCGGTGATTCATGTTGATTTCTATTTTGAGTTTAGTGACTTGAGTAATGTCTTTCTACCGTGTGTTGCTAAAACCCAAAACAATATTACCACAAAGAACATCGACATATTGTTGTAATATATAATTTTTGTCGGTCGATCAATGTGCAGTAGTTGTGTTGTTGTATCATCAATATTCCAAATGCATCGACGGCAGATTGTTTCCCGGAGCCAGCTGATTCCATCATTTTAAGTGACGAGTAAGACATTGAAGTTGTACAGGCGGAGAGGTAGCTCATCGATTCTTCCGGTTCACCTCCTAGCATCGTGCTATTATACCCCGTTCACATTACAGCCTATATTACGTAATATAGGCTGTCTTGCAATGAGCACTCATACATATGATTTCCAGTGAAAACTAGATGTATGAGTGCTCATTGCAAGACAGCGTATATCACGTGATATACACTGTAATGTGAACGGGGTATAAGGTACCAGGCGATAACCAGGGTAGTTGATCGATAGCTCGATGACGTCATTTCGTTGGCGTCTGCAGGCGTTGACGATGGGACGTTGTCGAGTTGTTAAATAGCAACTATCGTGGTAACTCACCGATTACCTTTCGATCTGCCAAATTTGGAAAGACGTCTGCATTGAATTGTCTCATATAATAATATTCCGCCCACTATATCACAAGAAATTGCGAGTAGCTGAGTGGAATGGAGATAAGTTAAGCATTGGGTACAGGACCAAGTCTCCCCTGGGTGGTGCCAAAAGATGAGCGCAATAGAATCATCAAGTTGCCATAAGGCACGGAATGAGACTATTGTATGGCTGGGTAGTCAAAGTCTTCCATTCGTTAGTCATTTCAGGTGGATTAGAACAGGTTTAGGTTTAGGGTGGGCGTTGGCCAGATTTGGATTTTTCAGATGTAATCCTGGATAGGACCCTGTCATTGAACTAAGTACTTTTTCGTAGTTTTTAGTTTTCGGATTTGAAAGATCGTCGGTTACAGTGGCCTGCTTACTGAGCAGAAAAACGCAGTCCCAGGGCCTTACATATCAAAGAGATTTATGGTAAAATCGCTTGTGTATCGTGTATTTTGCGAAACTCGTTGTTGTCGTTGGTTCCGGTTTTGAATGGATACAAAAATTTGAGCAACGGTATTATGTGATATGAGGGGCTCGGTTGCCTTAGAGCAACAGTTTTTGCTTACTAAGCAGAACATCATGAGTCTAATCTCAGGCCCATCCACATTCAAGATTCGTCAATCGTTTTATTTGCTAAAATGACTACATGGTAATAACAGCAACTCGGTGATTAAAAAGGTGCTCGTCTGCCTAGTGGCAAACGTTTTTGCTTACTGAGCAGAAGACCGTGGGTTTAGTCCCAAGCTCCTTCGCGTTATATGATCGTTAGGACATCAATTCAGCTTATCGTTTACCAAAACGAACCCTGCTGCAAACCCAACCCTCTTATCCAACATCCCAGTGATTCCTCGTGGAAGTGCAGAGGTGTTCTCGGCTTCGATCAAAGCGAGTGTCATGTCAACACAATCCTTCCCATTCCTTTCTTGACCTGTGTTTGGGCGCGGCCGGCGCTGGTATTGCCTTATTTAAGATCACCAGTTTTTACACATTGAGGATGATTGCTAGTCACAAGCATCGTCTATTGGTTCTCTGTGTAATTACAGCTGATCTGGCAGTAACAGAGTAGCAACCGTGGGCGGTCAATCAAGCTCAAGCTCAAGCAAGTAAGACATTGAAGTTGTACAGCATTATCTTTTCCAGTCACATGAACTGTTGTTAAGGGCTGCGGAAGAAGACGTAAAAAATCGAGCAGGAGGATCTCGACCTGGCAAACAACCGAATATCAACAGGGGCGCTCATGTAGGAGCTGAGCGACTGTTTTAGGATTATTTCTCCGAGAATCCCACGTATCCCACAGGTTCGGCGGTGGTTTTAATGTCCCAAAACTTGTTTACAAAGATTGTTGCAGAAATAGAGGCCGCGAATCCTTACTGCGTGCAAAAGCCTGATGTGGCTGGTTAACTAGGATTAACTGGCCTTCAAAAATGCAATCTCTCAGCTTGCATATGGCATGCATGAATACATCAGGATGACAGAGACGACAGCGATGAAATCTCTTGTGGAGTTTTGTGAAACTATTTTTCGTATTTACGGCCCCAACCCAACAAACAATTGCCTATTAAAGAAACGACTTCTTGACGATTTTATTCAACTGCATGCTTAATAATACTTGTACTATTTTTAGTAATAACTTCTGTTCAGGCTTTGTTCGCACAAATCTGGAGAATTTATTCAACCACAACATCGAAATATTGGGTGTTGAATAAAATATGTCGAGAAGCTTTTATTCGACTTACAAGAGTTGTAACAGAGCTTATTCGATCAATTTTTTGATTATTCAGCGTTTATTAGACATCATTACTTCCTTAAACAGCGATGGTACAAACGTGTATATAGATAAACGCTTGATTCTCATGGGAAATAATGTTTAATTAAACACTATTATACATTTATTAAATGATTATTCAACTACGGGATAATTAATCTGAAAATAAGAACGGGACAGAGCAGGGTTGTTCTCGTTGGTGATTGTTGTGTCATTATTTCTGTCGAAGCACGCACCAACCACACAGAATACTAGAAAATTTATTACATACAAACGCACAAACAACAAAAATTGTACCAATAAAAATAATGCATTTTCATATTGAAAGGTTGCCAAAATTCGTATATAGTATTAACTGCGAAAATATTCAAAATGAAAATTAAATTTTTTGTTTGAATGTGTTTTTTTCACTTTTGACCTGTAATTTTAAAAGTGCATTTTTTAAAAGGAAAGATGTTCAACTGTCAATATACCTTTTCACATCGATTTGTTTACTAGCAGCACTGAAGTTTAAGTAGTCGTTTACTTCGCGCCAAAATGTATTGCGTTCATTTTTGCAGCAGCAGAACCGTCTCGGATATTGAGTGAGTAATTAATTTTAGAAATGTCGAAAAACGCTTCTTCAACAGGTTCACATTTATTAAAAAAATTACTTTTTTCACAGCCCTTTTGATTCGTCTATGCTCCAGTCAATTTTTGAAACAGCCAGCACCGACATTGACATCGAGAACCTCATGTTTTGCTTCCGCCTACAGACATTTTATTTTATTCATCATCCTGCCTGGCCTCAAGAACGGATGGAGATCAGCCGAGAGTAGTGTGGATACTTTAATATTGTATTCAACAAGCGATCGCGTTAGGTATTCTGTTGGGAAGTGTCAGAACATTAGCGCTTTTCCTGAACTCGTGCAAGAGTGAGTGAGGTTTTTTGTCTTGATTTGAGAGGCTGAAAATTCATCTTGGTATTTTTCGTTTTAGGCATGTCTTCCTGGGTTTGTTCGCGTGTGGTCACTTTCTGCGCTTGTAACGTCGCTGATGGATAACGGAAGTAGAACCCAACGTAGGAGACTCTTATCAACCCATACTTATGCCGTGCTGGACATCGATGCAATCAAACTTCAACTGAAGAATCCCTGATCTCATCTTGCTGGCGGGGCAGCTGTTCTGAGCTGTTCCTGGAATCCGAACCTATTCGACTACACATACATCATTCATCAGCTGTGGCGTGGAGCCTACGTAAGACGCTTATACGCGTGCCGGCACCGAACTGACGTAATTAATATATTTTTGTATTTGTAGATTTTTATTTATCAAATAAAGAAAATATTTGTTTTTTTTTTTTTATCTCTATTTAGGAGATTTTCAGCCACAGGCTGGTTCATCTCCGGGAACCCCAGAAGGGGGCTTCCCTAATTACATAGTTGAGATTTTGGAGAACCTAGAGGTTGGTGGAGCTCCAGAAGGGAGTCCCCTTAGTACAGAGTATTTTTAAAGAGTTCCCGCATAAACAATAACCATAAGATGCGCCTAACCACCCATTCGGGATATCATCCCAATTTTATGTGGTATGGTCGCACCATCTAAGATATCGTCAGTATATGGTACACGTTTATTAGGGTTCATTATAGATCCTGTCTTGGTTCTTAGCGTGGTTGGCGGATCATGGTGTGAATGGCGGTGGTCGTTATCGAAGGCAGTCAGGTAATCGTCATGTGATATCCAGGCTTACTCCAGTGGTGTCCATGTTCGAAGTGTAGTCATTTTGTATATAGTGATTATATTTTATAGAAGAGAAAATATTTGGATTTAATATTTATGTATTAGAATTGAATACTAAAAATGATTTTATAATCTTCAAAATACTTATATTTAAATTGAAAATGCTTTTTGTGTAAATCAAAACATTACATCTAGCATTACATATTATTTCAAATTTACCACATTTTCATGTCAAAAAAATTGTTTTGAATTGAAAAGAACCCACTTTTAATTTCAATACGCCGTGCTTTTCATTTGTCAGTACCTACACACAAAGAACAAAAATTGTTGCTATAAAAATAATGCATAATCAAATTAAAAGTTTCCCAAAATTCGTAGTTTCAACTATGAAAGTTTTCAAAATTAAACTTATATTTTTGGTTTAAAAATGTTTCTTTCATTTTCGACTTGTAATTTTAAAAGTGATTTTTATTAAATAAAAGTTGTAAAACTGTCAAAATACCTCTTCATTGCGTAGTTTTTGACAGTACTGGACCTCCGTTTCCCGCTAAATTTGACATGGGAAATAAAAAATAAAACAAAACCAGCTGTAAGAACTTGCAGGAGTAGCAGCAGTGTATTCTATTTTTTCATATATTTCATCCGCCGGCACGATAGTTTCCCTTCTTTACGATACGAATAATAATATGGAGGCACCCGCGGGGACACTATCGAGTGGAAGGATACTCCAGTTGCCGGATTTGGAGGTAAGTTGATGAAATTTTTGAAGACTTTCGATCTTGCTTCCGATTTGACTAATTGATGTGTTTTGATCTTCAGCAGCCTTGTCAGTTTTGCCGGAAAGGAAAGCTACTCCCATCAACCATCACCATTAAGCAGGAACTTTTCTTCAAGCACGTCCCCACACCGAGCCCATCACGAAGTAATTATTCAGATATCAACTGTACCATTAGTGTAAAATGCTTCCAATGGAAGATTCCATAATGCAGTGGCCTTTCAGTGATGATTGAAAATTTTAATAAACTAAAATTAATTAAATTAAATATGTATGTGTTTCATTTTTCTAAAGCAATAAATAATATTTGAGATGAAAACGTACACCATTGCGATAAAAATGCCCATCTTTTAAATTAAAACCTTTAATGAGTATATTTAAAAACCATAGGCTATTTGATTGACAGTTCTACAATTCGATTTGAAAGTTTCAACTTTTAAAATTAAAGAATGAGCTACTTTTGAATTGACAGTTGGCCGACTTTTGTTTTGAATGCAAAAGACTTTCTACCAAAAAGAACCAACGCAAACTTTTAATTCTATCAATGGTTTTTTTAATTTTATTAACGATAATTTTTTGTGTGTAGTACAATTCATCTTAAAAGTTTTAGCTTTTAAAAGTAGTGAACGGAAAACTTTTAATTAGACAATTGGTTGACTTTACTTTTGAAAGCTAACTGCTTTCTACCAAAAAGAACCAACGCAAACTTTTAATTTTACTAATGTTTTTTTTATTAATTTTATCAACGATTATAGACCTCACCTGTAAAATTTAGGAACATCAACATCACATTCATAGTAAAGTTCTTCTATTCTCGACGAGTGCCATCTTTGATTTGCCAATCCCAGCGCGTAAAAACGTTAATAATTTTCAGCTGCGACTTTAGCGTGTAAACTCCGACAAACGCACCACCTCCACCAGTTCGGCCTCTACTGTCGATTGCCGAGCGTGCTTTTCGTGCTGTCAAAATTGTATTTTGTAAACAACACGCGAACAAATCGTTTGCGGCGTCGTAGAATCAGATCGAAGTTTATCTTTAAATAACTGCAGAAAATACCGCTGATTCCATTCAAAATTGTGCCCAACTATGGAGGAAGTTCAACGCCACTCGGTTCACACGCTTGTGTTCCGTTCTTTGAAAAGAACGCACGATTTTTTTGTAGCCAACCAAGCGTTGCTTCCGGAGATTGATGACCAACTGTACGGTTTGGATGAGTTAGATATGTGCGATCTTTATGTTAACAAATTTCACGTTTTGTCCCAGGGAAAGGATGAAATATTCTATCAAAGCTCGCGATTCATATGGGCTGATATTCGACCGTGCTGCAAAGGCTAAAAATTCGGCAGTCAGACGAGGCGACATCGGGAGAATAGATGTAACGCCAAATCCAACGCAGGACCACAGTTCGTATACCGCCGGGTATGCTGAAAAGAGCATCATGCTAATACTGAATTTGTTTCATTCTAGTGCTCGCGATCACAGCCGGAGGTGAAGAGGATCAATCTGGAAATACCCAAACTGCTCTTATGTCAGCTACTATACCGAGTACCCAGAGTTCCAATTCCAACACCGTACAAATATTGCCTAAGAAGGCACCCACAATTCCAAAGCCAAAGTGGCATGCACCTTGGAAGTTGTGCCGTGTCATTTCGGGTCACTTGGGATGGGTGCGGTGCGTTGCTGTTGAACCTGGCAACGAATGGTTTGCAACAGGAGCAGCGGACCGTGTTATTAAAATCTGGGATTTGGCCAGTGGAAAGTTGAAACTCTCGCTCACGGGTCATGTAAGTACCGTCCGTGGACTATGCGTGAGTCCACGGCATCCCTATCTTTTCAGTTGCGGTGAAGATCGACAGGTCAAGTGCTGGGATTTGGAGTATAATAAAGTGATTAGGCACTACCATGGTCATTTGTCGGCTGTGTACACTATGGCGCTTCATCCGACGATAGATGTCTTGATAACGGCCGGACGAGATTCGACGGCTCGTGTTTGGGATATGAGAACAAAAGCCAACATTCACACCCTAGGCGGGCATACCAACACAGTGGCGAGTGTGGTTTGTCAAGCGGTAAATCCGCAGGTCATAACTGGAAGTCACGACTCGACCGTACGTTTATGGGACCTGGCTGCTGGTAAAAGCATGAGCACATTGACCAATCACAAGAAAAGCGTCCGCAGCATCGTGTTGCATCCGTCGCTATATATGTTTGCTTCTGCATCGCCAGACAATATAAAACAGTGGCGTTGCCCGGAAGGAAACTTTATTCAGAATCTTAACGGACACAACTCGCTAGTAAATGCGATGGCAGTGAATCCGGAAGGTGTTCTAGTGTCCGGTGGTGATAACGGAACCATGTTCTTCTGGGATTGGCGTACGGGGTACAACTTCCAGCGTTTCCAGGCCGCAGTTCAACCGGGCTCGATGGATAGTGAGGCTGGTATCTTTGCCATGACATTCGACATGTCCGGATCGAGACTCATTACGACCGAAGCCGATAAAACCATCAAGATATACAAGGAGGACGACGAAGCATCGGAAGAGTCGCACCCGGTCAATTGGCGACCGGAGATTATCAAGCGAAGAAAGTATTAAGCCGGAAGTGATGGACCTGGACTTGATTATATTTCTTAAATAACATTACTTTTAATGTGTAATCCAAACGTTGATTTTAGTCTCATCCGAACACGGCCTCTTGAAATCGTTACATTTTCGTTAGGTACGTGCGGCTAAACAAAACAAAAAGCGTACCTTAACATATATCCCCCCTCTAATCCGACAAATTTGTGGCCGGATTTATTTTCTAAGGCTGCGTTCCATTTGGTGAATTTTCACTTAAATTTGACAGATGGAAAATTTTCAAATAAACCTGCTATTGTACCAGACTTAGGCTCTGAACCATTTGGTGGATTATTTTAACTTTTGGTTAAAATTTGACAGATGAAAAGTTATCGATTAACCCTGCTATCCGAGCATGGTTATTTCTGACAGACAAGAAGTTAAATTTTGACAACCGTGGCTCGAAAACCGGTCGATCGACAGCACGGGGATTTTCGAACATAGAAAATAACTTTCGAAATGTCACTTTTAACCACAAGTTAAATTTAACTCGGCAAATGGTTCACAGCCTTAGGCTGTGTTCCATTTGGAAAATTTTCACTTAGATTTGACACTTCGAAAATAAATTAAGATGTTCGAAAATCCCTCTGTTGTTGATCGGCCGATTTTCGAGAAAGCGTCTGTCAAAATTTATTCCTTGTCTGTCAGAAATAAGTCTGCTGGAATAGCAGGTTTATTTGAAAATTTTCCATCTGTCAAATTTAAGTAAAAATTCACCAAATGGAACACAGCCTTATTTCTGACAGACCAGGAATCAATTTTGACAAACACCTTCTCGAAAATAGGAAGATCAACAACAGAGGGATTTTCGAACATCTGAATTTATTTTCGAAGTGTCAAATTTAAGTGAAAATTCGCCAAATGGAACACAGCCTAAGTGTGCATGGAAGTGAAGAGGATTTCTCGGCTTCCAACGAAGCGAGTATCACGTCAACACATTCTTAGCCATTCCTTTCTTGAACTGCATTCCGAGGCGACCGGCACTGGTTTTGCCTATTATAAAGTTTAAGGCTGTGAACCATTTGCCAAGTTAAATTTAACTCGTGGTTAAAAGTGACATTTCGAAAGTTATTTTCTATGTTCGAAAATCCCCGTGCTGTCGATCGACCGGTTTTCGAGCCACGGTTGTCAAAATTTAACTTCTTGTCTGTCAGAAATAACCATGCTCGGATAGCAGGGTTAATCGATAACTTTTCATCTGTCAAATTTTAACCAAAAGTTAAAATAATCCACCAAATGGTTCAGAGCCTAAGATATCCAGCTTTCCATGTTCGGTAATGGCGGCCTGTTTGTATGAATAAATGTATCCTTCACTGTGCTTTTTGACACTATCTGGATGTTCGAATTTCAACCCCTTTCCTTTCCCTCTCCCAGGAACAGTAGAAAATGGAACAACATACGCCCTCCAGTTAGTGTCAAAAAGCACAGTGAAGGATACATTTATTCATACAAACAGGCCGCCATTACCGAGCATGGAAAGCTGGATTCAGTTTTAACACATTGAGGATGATACCTAGTCCCAAGCATCAGCTGTTGGTTCTCTGTGTAATTACAGGTGATCTGGCAATAACGGAGTAACAACCGCGGGCGTACAATCATGCTCATGCAATTCACGGGGTTTTTTTTCCCAATTCACTGGTCATCCCATAAATTGAATGCAACTGTATTATCAAGAGTGAATTTAAAAATAGCCGTCAATTTGTCGAAACTCTTAGCTGGCAGACGCAAACCAACACGGTTAAATTTCCCAACATTCACCCATATTCTTGTTTCGTTCGATCCGTATTTTTCATACAGTACCAACAAACATTGAAAGCTGAATAAGAGCTTATTGCTTCTTCAGCTAAAAAATAGCTTATTAAGCTTTTAATCAGCTCAAATTGTTAGTTGGGGTGTCTCGTGTAGAATGATGTTCTGCTTCGGACAGGCATTAGGGCTGACTGTGTTTCGGGAAATCTAACTCGGTTCCATGCGAAAATTAACTGTAGCGGTTTTCAAAAGTTTGATTATGTCAACAACAATTGGATTTTAATACATGCACACTGCGCAGGTGCAGGGATAGGGCAGTGTTGCCACTTACTTTAAAAATAAAAATAAAACTAAGCATGGGTGCCAAACAGTGCCAATGAATGTGCCCACGTGTGCCCAAATCTCTTTTGGGCACTCTGTGCAGAGTGACCACCCCTTGATTGTAACAAACCATTTATTCGGTTCCTCGTTGGTAGCCGATGTGGTTCGATAGAAAATTAAACCGAGTTCGGTAGTATTTTCTAAGCGTGCGAGAAATCACTGCGGGATGTTGAATAAAAGGGTTGGGTATGCACCATGGTGCCAATGAAATGTATGGGAAAAAAGTGGCCATCGAAGCAAGCCGACCATATACAAAATGTTCATTGCCTCGAAAAAATATACCTTATGCAAAATGTGGACTCAATCGGATTTAATCTTCTTCTTCTTCTTCTTCGCATTTTAAGTTGTTTGATTATCGTATATTAGCTATTGCGTGCTCGCAGCTAAGTGTTCATGATGCTCTTCTACAGTTATTAATTGAGAGCTTTCGATGCCTGTACCATTTTTGCATAAGTACACTCATAAAATTCGCTACATTTTTATTGGTGAATTTCCATGTAAAATTCCACATGATTATCATGTGTCCACACATAAACAGAATCCACTCAGAAGAACATATGAAATGTATGAGTCAAATGAATAGCAACCCGCATAAACGCGAACCATCACATGACCTTACCGATAATGGTTATAAATTGTTTATAATCCCTGCTAAACTTCAACTGAAATGGTTATGGAACTTTACATGAACGTTTGTTTGATAAAGTTTTAACCTTATGTATTATGGTTTTTTGGAAGCGGACCTTACAAATAATGGGTTGTTAAGAACCATTACCATTCCAAATTCTTGTTTTCTCCATACATTATTGGAAAGAGAACTATATTAGAACGTTTTTACTTATGGTTTGAGAACATTAATGGTTATGGTTATGGTAGTCAGTAAGGTCCATTAATGGTTTTGTATTATCGCTCAACTTTACGTGAAATATATCGTGAATTGGTAATCAGTAATTTACAGGTACCATAGAGGTAACTCTAAGACCACTGGGTCCCGAAGAAAATCATTATTATTTTTGGCTCACTCAGTACCAGAACAACGGTCCCAAGCAGTCCCAAGCTATTTCACTCACCCCTGCATGTTCTGCATGAATCCACACACCCCTGATGTTATCTGTCAAACTTTCATAGCGAATCAAAACAAACATAGTGTAGTAATAGAATTTCAACTAGAATAGGGTACGTTAATCGTTTGCTTGGGACCAATAGGCTACTAAAGTGATGAGCCAATTTAAAATCGTTAGTTTCGTATTGATTGTTGGTTGAACTGCGGATGCGAAGTTTATCTGGATCGTGCACCCTTTCCGAGGTATGACAGATATGAAGTGGAGGGACATTTGATGGATTTCACTTGTGGTACATTGGCCATTGGTTTTGATTGGTGGTACCTTGTGGAAAGTATCACATCTGCAAAGGATCGTGAACTTGATAGGCTTGAATGTGTGTAATTGGGTGATAGTAGGAGACATCCCTAATAAAAAATAACCATAAAAGATGGCTTAACCATAGAGGTAACTCTAAGACCACTGGGTCCCGAAGAAAATCATTATTATTTTTGGCTCACTCAGTACCAGAACAACGGTCCCAAGCAGTCCCAAGCTATTTCACTCACCCCTGCATGTTCTGCATGAATCCACACACCCCTGATGTTATCTGTCAAACTTTCATAGCGAATCAAAACAAACATAGTGTAGTAATAGAATTTCAACTAGAATAGGGTACGTTAATCGTTTGCTTGGGACCAATAGGCTACTAAAGTGGTGAGCCAATTTAAAATCGTTAGTTTCGTATTGATTCATGTCATGTCATAGAGAAAGTTAGGCCGTCTTGATTCTAAACGCTAAACATATATACAGTGCTGAGATTTGTCATTGTCATTGACAGACTTTCGCGCGATATTGACAAAATTGTTCGTCACAAAGTCACTGACAGACTTGATCCTCAAAAAAACCTTCGTCAAAATCTCATTAATTTTTTCGTCAATGACAAAGATTCACCTGGTAACAAAAAGTGTAATTTAGTACATTCTGTGTCACATTATTGTTATCCAAGTAGCTCAGGACGTAGATACCCGAAAAAAAAATTACAGTGAAATTTTCAGTGGAAACAATGCTCTAACATTAATATTTATTGTCGACAATAAAAATGATTGTTATAATGTTGTACCCTTCCGAAAATGGCGAAACTGCTACCTAGCTGTACAATGAATGTACATAATAAAATGTTGTTACAATGATTTTTATTGTATATTTCATTTATTTTATTGTTAACATGATTCGATCACGAACAATAATGAACAACTCTATAACAATAAAAATTGTTGTTAAATATTGGTGTGTTTTTATTGTGGGTTACTTCACGAACAATAAAAATAAATCTGATTGAAGCATGCAGACTATGAGAGACCCTCTGTGACCCAGCAACACTGCCAATGTAATCAAGATAGGCGATGCTCGATGGCTCTTGCTTTGACAGTTCGTTTGGCTCTATTCGTTGCCAAGTCAATTGAACGCCTATGATCAGATCGGTTTGAGTTGAACTCAACTCTCCTGCCTCATCTAAATCCCGCTTAATGCAGACCTTTTCCGTGCAGTCAATAATCACATGGTAACCACAAAATACCCAATAATGACTACAAAGTAAGCATTTTCGAGGGAAACTGGAACTACCAATTAAATGAGTAAAATTTTACTCATTTATGAGTAATTACAACTACAAAAATAAGTAGTAAGCATTCTTGCTTACTTTGTAGTCATTATTGGGTATTTTGCGGTTATCGTGCATACAATAATAATAAAAAAAAATCCACCACTTGAAGATGTCAGGAAATAACTCTGGTGGAAGCATATTTCATGGGCGATTCTCTCCAGTTGAATGCATTAACTTATCAACGACGCTCAACCACCAAGGAGACGTGACCTAGAGAGATCGAGTGCAGGGGAGTTGACCTCCATTTCTCACAAGTTCCGGATCGAATCTCAATCCATAACCAGTAAAAAAAGGACTCACCCGTAACAGACATACCACCCCCTTCCCTTTCCGGGGCGATGTTTTACTTTTTCGATTTATTTTTAAAGTCGATAAAGTAGATCTGTCAAGCCAACACTAAAGTACACTGTTATTTTTTTCAATCAATAAATTCGCCAACCAACAGTAAAATAACAATAATATATAAAGTTATTGAAAAAAAATTATATGGGGAAATCACGAAAATTTCATTGTTAAGATACTTAACAACCCCCCTTTTTTATTGTAAATTTTCCATTTACCATGAAATTTGCTGTTTTTTACAACATAAATCAAGGTAAATTTATTGTAGACGTAACAATATAAATCATTGTTAAGACAATAATTTTCGTCTTATTGTTACATTGTTTTTTATTGTATTTTTGCTGTTATTTTTTTTCGGGTACTTGTTCACTAAAATGGATCCATGTAATTGTTTTGCTCAAGTTATTTAATTTTGTTACAAATTTAGTTAATAAACAAATCTGCACATGTTCGTCACTGACACCATTGTCATTGACAATTGACATGGTTTGCCTTGACTATGACCACAAACGAAGTGACAGACGACTAACTGGCGAAGAAATCAATTTAAATAATGTGCTTCACTGTAATAGAATTTTCTTGGAAGCTTGTGCCATCATCCACCAGATGGGTTAGTTTTTTTGTTTTGATTTGAACAAAGTTGATTTTGTCTACAATGATTCTTTGACAGTGTGCAAAGAGTGCGTATCATTTTGTCATTTTTTTTATGCATTTCAGTTTTGAGTAGAGTGAAAGAGAAAGGACCAAAACATTCTAGTACATTTGGTGAAAATGCTAGTTCAATCTAATAGTAGTGTTGCCATGTGGTACAATCCAGTAGTAGTGGTGTTGCCATGTGGTACACTGAAAAATTGAAATAGCAGGTTAGTCACCAAAGTTTTCGAACCGCTCCGTCTGTCACTTCGTTTGTGCTATGACTGTTAGCTAAAATGAGTGACCAAAGCAGAATTGTCAATATCACCGTGTACTGTCGAGATTTTGCAGCACTGCATATACATGCATATATCGACAGTGAGCATACGTAAGGGCGTATACGCGATGATCGATTCTCTTCATCGATTTTCTCTTTGCATTTCTACAGCTAAGCGAAATAATTTTATAGAATTTGTTCAATGTTCAAGTTGTAACTATTGGCTATCAAAACCAACAGCATACGCACCGAGAAACAAGTTATTAACAAAAGAGAAAATCGACGAAGAGAATCGATCATCGCATTTACGCCCTTATGCATGCTTACTGTCGATATATATTATTTTTCCCTCATCAAAAATCATTAATCACCCACTATGCGTTCAGCGTTCCCAACAAATTCCACATCCCAACAACCCCTCGTCGACAGCCAAATGCACTCGCGACAACCCACCGGCGCAAACTCGACGAACACGCAAGCAAAGACCCGCCCCGCGCGTCCTCGTCTCGTCCAAAAACTCGCTGTCATCGTAGGAAAATCGAGGAAAAAAAGCCGCTTTTGTGTGTCATTCTCCTTCCACTTCTCGTTTTTCCGATCGTCATCCGTCAGTAGTTGAGTTTTGGAGTTGGAAGAGTCATCTCGTTTGGGACGGACAGTTTTTCTCAGCAAGTTTTTTGAAAACGAAAAAAGAAAGCTCACCAGAAAGAAGGCTTTGTGTCGATTTCGGAGGAACAAGGACAATTCAATTTCTATTTCAAAAGCAAGCCTAACTAGTGCCCAGCCGCCGGAAACGATGTCCGATGCAAAGAAGTAAGTATTTTACGGAGAACTGGGTGTTCTAATTTCGCGAATGTGACTCGTTCAAGTCTTTCTGCTTTCCGAGCGATGGTGGCTCCATTTGCTTCAATTTTCGCTTGTCATGATGTGTTCGAAGCGCACTCGTTTGAATCAGTCAACAGAGTCGATGACGAGGAAGTTTGGCCAATCAGGAAGTGGGCTGCAAACTAACCGATTTCGAAATTTCAGAGAATGTTTGCGAAATACATGGCAATTACTCATTATCTAGAATATTCCGAATTTGGCTAGGAATAGGTCAGCTTACCATTTTGTTTTTATGCAGAAAAGCATTCAGCAAAAAATTATACTGATCATTAAATTATATAAACATGATTTGCCCCGGAAGACTTTTACGTAAACATTGTTAATTCCATTAAACCATTCGGACCATCTAGGTTTAAAAAGCTCGGAAACATCTTCGGATAGTTTTGGCCGAATAATTCCTAACCTACAAATTTTCCTCCACCGTCTTCTGGGATTTTCTTGCCTTTGTCAAACAAAGGAAAATCGTATTATACCGCATAGCGAACGTCAAAAGGCTAATGACTTGCGTTGATCCATGTAATGAATGTTGTGTTCCTGAAACATGGTAGTAACGAATTTTTATTGTCTCTCTTTTCATGGCATTTTCTCCACCCGTGTTTCTGGATTATGATGATAATGCTTTGATTTGTTGTCAACCCTGTCTGGCGAATGCAGTGATGATTTGGCGACCGCGATTCTGAAGCGTAAGGACCGCCCGAACCGTTTGATCGTAGATGAGGCCGCCAACGATGACAACTCGGTCATCTCGCTGTCCCAGGTAAGGATTATGTTTTATATAAGAGTTTTACAATCAATTAAACTTTTGAATCAAAATATAGTCAACTATCTATATTTAGGTAGCGCGATATTCGTAAAATCGTTATCGAGTTCGAGTTCTAAAAGTATTTTCGAGGCTATTACGATGTCTTTGTAGAGTGTTGTATTTTTGTTTATTGAAAATTGTAAATATGAGAAAAAGTTTAAAGATGCGATAGGGTTCATTATAAACATTATAGGGCCATTCGTGGCCTTTGGTTCTTGGATTCCTGCCTGGATCGAAAAAAAAATAAGAAATACAAAAGGTTAAGGGCTTTTTCCTAGACTCGGACGCGTTATTGTCGTATGACTACGAAAACTTTTTTTTTTTTATGTTGCTATTTCTTTCAACAAATTAGATGATTTTCAAAGTCCCTTCAATTTTCTAAGCACCACTCTTTCTCTAACTTACCCTAAATTTACGATGTTTCTGGATCATGATTTTTTTATATGATTTCAACATCTAATATGTGAAATTTTACGATTTCAGATAGGAGGCCCTTGGCTAGTTTTTGCACCTTGTTGCTGGTGGGCGGGCTTAATCTCATGCTTTAAAGTGGAGTTATGGAGACGGTAGGTTTATGGCCAGCGTTGCTGGCTCATGCCGCGGTCATGTGGTATTGCTGCATCGATGCATGTTTAACTTTTTGCGCCTACGTCTACGGAGCTTACGCAGAAGTGACACGCAATTCGGTAGAGCTTGTCAAACGCTTTTGAGCTTATGTAGTATAGAATTTGTACGCTTTTTAGTGACTTGTCACTTTTTTCAAGCCAGTCACTAAAAAGTCTCTTTTTTTAAGGACAAATCACTAAAGTCACTTTTCTTTGTAATAAGTCACTATTTTAAACTTTTTTAAACGTGAATTTATTTCAAGCTTGATCATTCTTCTGAATTAGGCCTACATTTTGTTCTATTTTTTAAACAATTCGAAGTTGACGACCTTGTATAGAGTTTTTTTTTACGTTTAATCGTTCTTCTCTATCTACAGGGTGTCCACTCATTTGGCTAAATAAAGTTCCCTTAGTTTTCCAGGTTTTTCCATAACTTTGGCGAATAATTTCCAGGTTTATAATAAGAATGATATTAATGAAATGCGTTAAAAATATGCTTTTAACGCAAACGTTTTTAAGACATAACAATCAGTTTTAAAGAAACAGCTTTACTATCAAATCCATTAAATGTTGAAGTTGAACACTTACTTTATTTTAGTAAGTCTAAGATCACAACATTTTTAATGTCTTGACGTTGCGTACTAACAAAACTAACAAAAACTTTAGTTCAATTGATCTCAGAAAAGCTAGATATGGAGATCATTGGGGAATTCCAGATATCTTAAGGGGAAGTCCCCGAAACGTTAGCCCAGACTATTAAATTGGTTTAAAAATCTTTAAGCGTGAGGTTAGACAAATTCAGGATAGTTCCATGATGTGCCAGTGAGTTTGAGGAGTTTTAGCAAGCCTGCCCATAGGATGTCCCGAAAGATTCAGTACAGAGACCTTCAGAAAATTAATGAAAACTTCAGAAATATTTCAGGAACTTCACAGAAATCCAGAGAATTCCAGGAAAGTTTAAAGGTGTTTACGAGAATTCCATTTATTTTAAAGCAGAACCGAGATCTTCATTAGAGTTGAGAGTTTTAGGGAAGCTCCGAGAACATCAAGACAGATCAGAGAATTAAAGGGCAGTTCAAAAAATTTCAAGGAAATTGCAGAAATCGGAATTTCCGGAAACTTTGGTTTGCTCAGAGAAAATTTCTGGACAGCAATAAAAATTATATGAACATCCGGAAAATGTGAGAGTATTTCAATGGTATTATAGGGGAAATGCAGGTAATGTCGGACTAAGTGTCCCTAACTTGGGTCCATACATAAATTCAGCAATCGACTAAATTTTCAATAGCAACCAAAACTATCTATTAGTAACGCCCAATAACGCGTTCATCTAGATAAAATTGATAAATAGCAGATTTTTAGCGATGGGCCCAATCTTAGATCCATAGGCCAACATTAGAGACATTTCCCCTATGAAAATTTCAAGATCTAAAAAAAGTCGAACATTTAGCTAAGTTGATTAGAGAACATCAACGAAGTTCCATTAATTTAAAAAAAAAACGTGAACTTTTAGCAAGCACCGATATTTTCAAGAAATTCCAGAGAACTTCTAAGAAATTAAGATATTTTTAGATTGTTTCATTATATTCAGTGAAGTTCCGAGTACTTCGAGGACGATCAGATAACATAAGAAAAATCACATTACCTTAAGGAAATTTGCAGCGACTTACTAGGAGTTCCTTAGAACTATAGGATGTTCCGAGAATTCTATGATTGATCCCGAGAATTTTATGATTGATCCGAAAACTTTAGAAGCTTCAGGGAATTATAAATATAGGTATATCAGAAAATTTACCGGAACATTTGATTAATTTAGAGAAATTAAGGTAAGCATAGAAAACTTCTGGGATGTCCAGAATTTTCAGGGAAAATTTGTGATCTTAAACTTTTTAAAAAATACTAAGATATTCAGGGCAGTCTAGAGAATTTTAAGGAAATCCAGAAATATTTTGGGCAGTTTTAAAAACATCAGGAAACTCTAGACTATTGAAAAAGTTATGACTTAGTTTCGGTAATTTTAACTTCAGACAAACCTTGCGAACTTCAGTGAAAATCATTGAACTATATTAATTATTTCGCTGCGGAAGCTTAAAAAAGATCCTGAAATAAATCAGAATAACTTTGAAAACTACACAGAACTCACAGAAGTACAGAGATCTTCAGAAACATTTCGAGAACTTCATAAAAGTCTATGGAACTTAAGGGAAGATCCGGTAACTTCAGGAACTTTTATGGACATTTCTGGAGCATCTCAAATAAGTTTAGTAAAGCTCCAAAAACAAAGGGAATTTCAGGGGAGTTCAGTTCCATTAGTTTCACTAAATTAGCGGGAAATTTCAAGAAGTTCCCAGATTTTCAGAGAACTTAAGAGATGTTATTGAGGTTTTCACATAAGTCAAGTTCACGCAAGTTTAAACATTTTTAGAACAATTCATGGTAGTACAACCAGGGTGTTAAGTGAAGCAGGAAAACCGGGAAAAAGTCGGTAATTTATTTTCACCATTAAAAACCGGGAAAAAAACCAGGAATTTCATAAGTCGACCAGGAAAATAATCTTGTTTGTATATTTTAAATAGGTTTTAAATTTTATGTATTTCAAACTTTCTTTTTATAATTAGGTCAAAACTAACCATTTTGTTCAAGCAAAATTTTTCACACAACTAAACATTGATGAACAAAATTTACCCTGAGAATTTAGTAAATATATTTTGTATTTATTTTTAATTTAATTTTTTTCTCGAATCAATTGCATGTATGATTTGTGCTTAATTGATAGCAGTGCCGACGCGTAACTACTTTGAAGTACCTGTTCAACATGTTCAATAAAAAAGTTCTATTTCTAAACACTTCAGATAAGGCCTTTGAACTTCATGCAAGTTCTACAAAATTCGGGGAAGTCTTACAAGTTTCAGGAAAATCCTGTGAACTACTGTGATGACCTACGATGGTCAGGAAATCTCTCTGAACCTTCAGAGAAGTTCTACAAATTTCAGAGAAGTCTTACGAACTTCAGGGAAGTCCTTTAATCTTTGGGGAATAACTAAGAATTTTCTACAGATTTAATGTAACTTCTACGACATTTAGGCATTGCTTAAAACTTAAGGATAATCCTATGACACTTGTAGATTTTTTCCGAGCTTCAGAGAAGTCTTCCAATATTCTTGGGAAGTCCTCTGAACTTAACATAGTTCTCCAAGCTCAAAAAAGTTTCTAGAACTTCTGAGAAGTCGATGGAACTACAGGTAGTCCTACGAAATTCATGGGAGCTCTCCAAACTTCAGGGAATTTCCAAGAAATTAGGAAAGACCCACAAACTTTTGGAAAACCTTTCGATATTTAAAGCCTTATGAACTTCAGGGAAGCTCTTCTAAATTTAGGGTCTTCATATATTCAGTTAAGTTCTTCAAACTTCAGGGAAGTCCTCAGATCTTCGAGAAAGTTCTTCGAACTTGAAGGAAGCCTTACGAACTTCTGAGAATTTCTACGAACTTCGTGGTACTTCTACGATATTTAAGAAATTCCTATGACTTTCAAAAAAACTCCGAACTTCAGGGAAGTCCTAAGATCTTAAAAAAAAAGTCCTTTGAACTTCGGGGAAGTCCCATGAAATTCAGGCAATACAAACTTCAATGAACCCTTCAGGAAAGACCTTAACGCATCAGGGAAGTTCTACGAACTTTAGGGGGTTATAATAGTTATAAGAGTTATTAAACAAGCATTGTTTATGAAATCTTTTAATCATATGATTCTGAAATCATGTTGTAATCAAAATTCCGCTAAATAAGATCCTTCATCGTTGACGGAAAATTTAAACAAACTGGAAATCCGTAAAATTGTTAGAAGCAAAGGTTTTTGTTTAAAGAATCCTCATACATATCACACTACGCAATTTCACCTTGAGATAAACTAGCCCGTTGGCTAAAAATCGCAATAATAAAGTTAAAAAAATCGCAGTTTCAAAAACAAAAATCTCAAGATTTAGGGGCTTATAGATCTCTAAATTTCAGACATTAGATAGGGCTCCGCGCTAGTCCGTCGTATCTCAGTTTTTCTTCGCCATACACCCCTCAAATCGCTCATTTTACGGGTTATCGCAAATGTTCCAGTGTCAATCGTAATTAATCTTGTAAGCAAAGATATTTTTGCAAAAACATGAGTGAAAATGCTTTGCTATTGTAGTTATAGCCAGGGCTGGCAAATGTCATTTTCAATGAAAGATCTCACGCGATATTTACAGAGATACTCCTGTCACTATCATCGGATGAGAAAACGATGATAGAGATTTTCTTCAAAATCTCATCGAATTTTTCGTCATGACAAAACGTGACAGTGTTGTGATCATCGTAATTA